GCTTTGCAGTCTGACACATTAGCCCACAGCGCCACACCAGGACTCCATTGTTAGGTGCCACCAAATGACTCTGAATTACAGTGACCTTATGCACAATACAAGTAGATTCCACTCATGGCAGAATCTACTGTGAGAAGGAAACACCCACTCACAATTGTTGTTATATCTGAGCCCACTCTTACAGTCATTATAGCCATACTTCTCTTCGAGGGTCTTCCTCTTTTTCCCTGACCCTGCACTTCACCAAGCACGATGTTCTTCTCCAGGGACTGACCTCTCCTGAATACATGTTCAAGTGTGAGAGAAAGTGTCACCATCCTGACTTCTAAGGAGAATTCTGGCTGGGCTTCTTCTGAGACACATTTGTTTGTTCTTCATACAGTCCATGATATTTTACACGTTCTTCACCTACACCATAATTCAAAAGCATCAATTCTTCTCCAGTCTTCTTTACTCATTGTCCAGCTTTCACATGCGTGTGAGATGATTGAAAACACCATAATTTGGGTGGTCGGGCACACCTTAGTCCTCAAAGTGGCATCTTTGCTCTTGAATGCTTTAAAGAGGTCTTTTGTAACAGACTTGCCTAATGCAATATATCTTTTGCTTTCCTGCCTGCTGCTTCCTTGAGCATTGATTGCAGACAAAGATTGCAGCCTTGGAAACCCTACAGGGCTCTTCTCTCTGAACTATAAGTGTTGCTGTGAGTCACAACGAACAAGATGACAGCCGATGTGGTTTTGGTTTCATATACTTGTATCAGTGTCGGCATGCAAGTTTCCCCGTTTTGAAACAAGAACAATACTGACATCTCACTGTTTCTAATTAGTATCTTCTTTATTCAAGGTCTATGGTGGATAGCCACTTAGAAAGCCTTCCCAAGCAGATGTGTGCTCAAATGCCTCAGCTCAACTGGGTGTGAGTATGCACTGAACATCATTGTATTTCCCTAGATTACAGGAATTAGTCCTGAGGTTAACTCAAGATAGCATCAAAAGACAACCTCTACTTTTCTTAAGGAGCCCCGATGGCAGAGTGGTTAAGCACTCAGCTGCCAACCAAATGTTAGAGGTTCAAATCTACCCAGTGGCTCCAAGGTAGAACTACCTGAAGTTCTTCCCCCATAAAGATGAGCCCCTAGGAAACCCTGTGGGGCAGTTCTCCTCTGTTACACCAGGGGGCGCTGTGAGTGGATGATCTATATGAGTATATATGAGTATATAGTGACACAATAGATGACAGCCTAGGAAACCCTGTGGGGCAGTTCTCCTCTGTCATCTTCACAGGAGTTGATCATCACGTCTTCTCTCCTACAGAACATCTGGGTGGATTCAAACCACTAAGCTCTGGCAGCAGAATGCTTAACCATTGCACCACCAGGGCTGCCTGCTCCTGTCTCGGGACAGGGGAAAGCCTGATCCTGTTTCCCACGCATGTCTTCCTCCCTCATTAGCTTCACTCAGTCATTGTTGGATGCCATCAGATGATTGACTCTCGGCACCCCCACATGGGTGTCAGAGTAGACCTGGTCTACAGGGGCTTCCAAGAGCTAATGTTTTGGAAGTAGACCGCCAGGTCTTTCTTCTGAGGTGCCTCTAGGTGAACTTAATCTTTCAACCTTTCTGTTGGAGTAGAGCCCTTCCTGGTAGGACTCTGTAGGATAAAGCGCAAAACCACAAGGTCACTTTGAACCACAAGGTCAGTGGTTCACAGTCACCAGCTGTTCTTTGGAAACACTATACCGGGTCACTGTGGGTCGGAACTGACTCAAAGGCACTTAACAACAACAACCACTCAGGGACTCCAATAAATTGTTGTTATTAGGAGCTATAGAGTAGATTTCAACTCACAGCAACCCCATGTGACAAAGTAGAATTACCCCATAGGGTTTCCAAGGCTGTCATATGAATGGGAGCAGATCTCCAAGTCTTCCTCCCGCAGCGCTGCTGAATGGATCAGAGCTGTCAGCCTTTCTGCTAGCAGCTGAGCATGTAACCCTCCTTCACTGAAGAGGAGTTTCTGTCCTGGTGGTTGGATAGTATGATAATTGATGGTATAGGATCCATCCCAAAGCGACACTCACTAAATGTAAGGCTGCCTTTTCCTCTATTTCATGACGTTCTAACATTAATTGAAAGGACAAAAGAAGCGTGGTATTTGTTATCCTAGCCCTAGGAACACGTGCTAAAAACTGGAGGGAAGTCTAAATAAAGTTCAGGACTGTTATACCAACAAAAGGTTTTCATCTCAGTATCTCTGAACATAGGATTTGTACCAGAAAATTCTGAAACGATTTTCCTTTCTTGTCTTTCAGGGATCTGGAAGGCAATGGAATAAAGTATCTTCCCAATTTCACCTTTGTGTCCTACAATTCTCTCACAGTGCCGTGAGTATATAAATGGGGACAAAACCAACAGATTCAGAAATCAAAAAGAAACAGCTATCAAAACACTCAAAGTCATATTTCCTTCACAATCTTGGTATGAAGGTGGAATACCAAAAAATGCACACATTGATTTGTTCATTGTCTCCAAGAGCAGTCATTATTTCTGGTTCAAGGGCAGACAAATTTCAACAGTTTTTGAACTGTTCCTGGATAAGCCCATTGTTGTTAAGTGCTGTTTAATCTGTTCCAACTCATAGTGACCCTGTATAGGGTTTCTGAGGAGCAGATGGTGAATTTGAACCACAGACCCTGAGGTTCAAACCAACCTTGCTGTTCAGTGCTTATCCTACAGTGTCACACCACGATTCCGGATAAACTCATGGTCAACATTAAAACGAGACAACATATGTTAGCATGGTTAAGCATTCAATGATTGACAGCAGTGGTGGGTCAGTGGAAGAATTCTCACCTTCTATGTGGGAGGCCAGGGTTCAAATCCCGGCCAGTGCACATCGTGTGCGGGCACCACCACCTGTCTGCAGAGGCTTGTGTGTTGTTCTGATGCTGAGCAGGTTCCAGTATAGCTATAAGTTGAAACTGACTCAGTGGCAGCAAGTATTTTGGAAAAAAAGATATTCTCTAAAATTCCTAGGATTCAAATCAGGTGCAACCCTCAATTGCTGATGGCAGCAGTTCCTGGAGCGACATGTGGGTGGTCGTACCTGGTACAGCCAATAGACCTAAGTGGACTGAAGGCTTCACCTTCTGTTCCTCACCAAAAGCAGACGCCATCTGAGACAGCAACACCAAATACACTACCACCACCTCGATTCTGACTCTCAGTGACCTGACCTTGGGTTTCTGAGACTGTGACTCCGTATGGGGGCAGATAGTCTCACCTTTACCCCAAGGTGAGGCTGTCAACTTTGTGGTTTGCAGCCCAACCCTCCCACCACAGTGGTACTAGGGACATCAAAGCAGACTCATTAAAGTGCACCTGGTAGATGGCATCTCGCAATGGGAACGAGCCACTTAAGCAGACAGACACCCATGACGTATGACTCTACCTGTCTTGCAGGTTCCTGCCTAGAAATCAAATTGAATTTGTGCCAGAGGAGACATTCTCTTCATTAAAAAATCTGGGAGAACTGTGAGTAGCATTGTCTATTAGGAAAATAGGATTACCTCTTCCGAGATGATACATTCAAATGACAAGTGAGATCATTTTTCCCGTATACCACCAGATATTAAAAATCAAGTAAGAAAATTAATGTTATCCTAAAGTCAAAAGGACATTCTAATTGGACGTAGGCTTAATGTGAAGTTAGTCTACCCAAGCTCTCCTGTCTGTTTTCTTGGGAGATTTCCTATAAATGTGTTTGGGGGAGTAACATGTGTGTTTGCCATACCTCCTTGTAGGAAGTCTGTTGGCAGAGGGGTTATGCACTGAGAGGCTAATGCAAAGGTTGGTGGTTGGAAATCTCCAGCTGCTTCCATAAAGACTACGGCCCAGGAAAGCCTAGGGGAGGGTTCTATTCTGTCACATGCAGTCACTATGAGCGGGAATCAACTGGACAATAATGGGTTTGGGGTTTTTTGGTACATGTCCTTAAATGCAAGGATTATGTATATTGTTGTTGTTGTTGTTGTTGTTAGGTGCCATCGAGTCGGTACCGACCCATAGCAACCCTATGCACAGCAGAAAAAACACTGCCCGATCCTGGGCCAACCTCACTATTGTTGCCACGCCTGAGCCCATTGATGCTGTCACTTTACCAATCCATCTCACTGGGGGGCTTCCTCTTTTTCTCTGACCCTCTACCCTACCAAACATGATATCCTTCTCCAGAGAATGGTCCCTCCTGACAATATGTCTGAAGTATTAGAGACAGTTTGGCCATCCTAGCCAAGGAACACTCTGGCTGCACTTCTTCCAACACAGATCTGTTGGTTCTTCTGGCAGCCTGTGGCACTTTCAGTATTCTCCTCCAACACCATAACTCAAAAGCATCAATTCTTCTACAGTCTTCCTTATTCACTCAATTCTGTACATATGTGCATAAATAGAGGCACAGACATATTGTGGTGCTGTAGGATAAGCACTGGAACACAAGTTCGCTTTGAACCACAAGGTCGGTGGTTCAAACTCACCAGCTGCCCCTTGGAAACCCCTTGCTATGAGTCAGAAGTGACTCGAGGGCACTTCACAATAACAGCATATACAGACATAGGGAGCACACTAGCTCCATAGAATAAGAGCTGGACTGAGAACCACAAGGTGTGAGCCCATGTGAGAAAGATGAGGCTTTCTGCTCCCTGAAAGATTTAAAGCCTTCAGGAAACCCTATCCAGGCTCACTATGGGTTGGAACTGTCTCAATGACACTTGATGACAACAGCAATGCACACACACACACACCTATACATGTATACATGCATGTGTTATTGTTGTTAGGTGCTGTAGAATCGATTCTAACTCATAGTGACCTCATGCACAACAGAGTAAAACCATGCCCAGTCCTGTGCCAACCTCACAATTGTTATGCCTGAGTCAATTGCTCCTGTCACTGTGCAAATCTATCTCGTTAGGGCTCTTCCTCTATTTCGCTGACCCTCCACTTTACCAAGCATTATGTCCATCTCCTAGCACTGGTCCCTTCTGGCAGTTATGTCCAAGGTATGAGATACAAAGTCTTACCATCCTGGCTTCTAAGGAGCATTCTGGGTGTACTTCTTTCAACTTCTTACATGGTATTTTTAGAATTCTTCTCCAACACCATACACATCAATTACATCAATTCTTCTACGGTCTTCCTTAGTCACTGTCCAACATTCACATGCATATGATGCTATAGAAAATACCATGGTTTGGGTCAAGCATACTTTAGTCCTCAAACTAACATCTTTGATCTTGAACACTTTAAAGAGGTCTTGTGCAACAGTTTTACCTAATGCAATACATTTGATTTCTTGACTTTTGCTTCCATGAGTGCTGATAGTGGGTCCAAAGAAAATGAAGTCTTTGACAATTCAATCTTTTCTTCATTTATCATGATGTGCTTAATTCGCCCAGTGGTCCCTTTTGTTTTCTGTACATTGAGGTACAACCCATACTGAAGACTGTGGCCTTTGATCTTCATTTGTATTTTAAGTCCTCTTCACTTTCGGTAAGCAAGGTTGTATCATCTGCATACCACATGTTGTTAATGAATTTTCCTCCAATCCTGATGCCTTGTTCTTCATATAATCCAGGTTCTTCAATTAGTTGATCCACATGCAGATTGAATTTGTATAATGAAATAATACAACCCTGGCGCATACCTTTCCTGGTTTTAATTTATTCAGCGTTCAAACAACATTCAATGTTCAAACACCTGCCTCTTGGTCTGTGTACAGGTTTCTCATGAGCAAAATTAAGTGTTCTGGAATGCCCATTCTTAGCAATTTTAGCCACAGTTTATCATGATCCACACAGTCAAAAGTCTTTGCGTAGTCAATCAGCACAGGTAAACATCTTTCTGGTATTCTCTGCTTTCAGCCAAGATCCATCTGACGTCAGCAGTGATATCCCTCACTCCACATCATCTTCTGAATCCATCTTGATCCTGTCAACAATATACTGTTGAAGCCATTTTTAAGTTATCTTTAACAAAATTTTGTTTGCATATGATATTAATATTATCTGATGATTTTCACATTCCAATACGGATCTCTTCCAATCAATTGGCCAGGTAGTTAACTGTTTTCCAATTTTCTCGGCATAGATGGGTGAGTGTTACCAGTGCTGCATCAGTTGGTTGAAAGATTTCAGTTTGTATTCCATCAATTCCCAGAGCCTCGTTCTTTGCCAATGCCTTCAGTGCATGTTGGACTTCTTCCTTCAGTACCATTGGCTCTTGATCATATGCTACCTCTTGAAATGGTTGAACATAGATCATTTCTTTTGGGCACAGTGGCTCTGTGTATTCCTTCCATCTTCTTTTGCTGCTTTCTGCATTGCTGAGGGCACTTTTCTTTTTCACTGACCCTCCACTTTACCAAGACTGATATCCTTCTCCAGGGACTAGTCCCTCCTGATAATACGTCCAAAGTTTGAAAGATGACATTTCACCATCCTGGCTTCTAAGGAGCATTATGGTTGCACTTCTTCCAACACAGATTTGTTTATTCTTCTGGCAGTCCATGGTACCTTTAGTATTCTCCTCCAACATGATAACTCAAATGCATCAATTCTTCTATGGTCTTTCTGATTCATTTTCTAACTTTCCCATGCATATGAGGTGATCGAAAATACCATGGTTTGAGTTAGGGCCACTTTCGTGTTCAAACTGATATCTTTGCTTTTGAATTTCTTAAAGAGGTCTGGTGCAGCAAAATAATCTAACACTTTTGTAAACTCCAGAAGCATAAGTGTCTCACTCAAGTTAAATCTAATAACTTCTAAATTTCTTCCAGCTTTTTGTCCGATCGATTGATGTTAAACAGATTGGAATCGATGACTGACCTTTAAAAACAAACATATGGTGACCTAGTTCCATGGGGATTGTAGCCTAGAAAGTCCTAATCAGAAGACTCCTGGGGGGGGGGGTAGGAATTAATTCAGGAGGAAGTTGCCAGGTCCTTCATCCAGAGAGTCTGACACACGAGTTCTGGGCTGGGAAGCTGGAATATGCTCTTTTCAGAAACATTCCTGATGATGATTTCTTCAGGACTGCCCTCCGTGAAATTATATTTTGGCTAGTCTCCACGCACTGGCTCAATCTCAGATCTCTCTGTTGTCGCTAAGTGCCATCAAGTCTGTTTGGACTCATAGAGACCCTGTATAGGGTTTCCAAGGAGCAGCTGGTAAGCTTGAACTGCAGACCTTGTAGTTCAAACCAACTTTGCAGTCCATCGCATAAACCCACAGTGCCATACCAGGACCCTGTTATTGTTGTTGTTGTTGTTGTCAAGTGCCGTCGAGTCAATTCCAACCCATAGCGACTCTGTATAGGGTTTCCAAGGAGCAGCTGCTGAGCTTGAACCATCAACCTTGCAGTTCAAACAGCTTTGCAGTCTGGCGCAATAACCCACAGTGCCACCCCAGGACTTGATTCTAATGCACTGCAACACTATAGGCTAGAGGAGCACTGTGCCACAGGGTTTTCCAGGCTATCTTCTTTACGGGAGCGGATTGCCAGGTCTGTCTCTCGCAGAGCTAGGGTGGTGAGCAGGAATCGTCTACCTCTGGGTTCACTTAACTGTTGTATCACCAGGGCCTCTGTAGACAGCCCTCCCTCTCTCCGTACCTGCACCCACATGGCCCACTTGTTGGTCCTTGAACCCACCATTGGATCCAAGTATCTGCTCCTCTGTCGAGCTTGACCCTCGCCTGAGAAGCTCCTCTCCTTTTACTCTACCCCAGAACATCATCAGCCCTGTTTAAGTATTTCCCAATTTCTTAAGCCAAGAGCAGCAACTCCTTCCTCTTGGTTCTGTCTGTCCTCTGTCATAACACTTGTTTCATCCTTTGTTTTATTATCTAGTGTTTAATGTAAGCTTCCTTAGAAAAAACACCTGTTGTTGTCATTGTTGTTAGGTATCATAGAAATAATCCCAACTCATCGCGACCCCGTGTGGCCGAATAGGATCCTGGCGTAGGACTGTAGGAACAGCACAGGACTTCAAACCACAGGGCCAGCAGCTCCTCAAAAACTGATGGGTTTGAACCAACGGCACTTAACAACAACAACCTTTAGGGTAGCAGATCTTCCTCCTGCAGACTTATTAGGTGGGTTTGAACCAACATTTGCATTTAGCAGCCAAGTTCTTAGTTACTGCAACACCAGGGCTCCCTGACTTGACCTAAGCCTTATTTATTTGCAACTCCCACATATCTGTAAGCAGCTACAAAGCATCAAAAAATATATCAAGTACTTGTATTTTATTTGACTCTTGATTAAGCAATACCACATCTTTTTCACCTTTAATTTTTTCTGTGGCTCAACTAGCTTTTTTTTAAGGAGTCCTGATTTTTTCCTGACCTTAGCCTGCTATGGAGTTGTAGGATACACACAGGACTGCTGACCACCAGGTTACTCCTCAGAGTGGGAACTGACTAGACGGCACTTACCACAGCCACAGTAAGATCTCTTACCCACAGTCCATAGAGTCATTTCCCTATTATTCTCTCTGTATTGTTGTTGTTGAGTGCCATCGAGTCAGCTCCCACTCATAGCAACCCTGTATAGGGCTTCCAAGGAGTGGCTAGTGGGTTTGAACCACCAACCTTGTGGTTAACAGTTCAGTGCTTATCTTTCAATGCCATGCCAGGATTCCACACTCTCTGGATTGTTGTTGTTAAGTGTTGTTGAGTCGGTTCCAATTCATAGCAACCCTGTATAGAATTTCCAAGGAACAGCTGGTGGGTTTGAACCACTGACCCTGTGGTTCTCAGTCCAGTGCTGATCCAACAGCACCACTCTAGAAGTCCTCTCTGGATTAGACAGTCTGAATATATTGAAGTCTAAATCCTCAATTTCTTCTACAAAAAGAGCCCATATAATAATATATTTAAGATGTGCGAACTTAATCATTCAAGATTAACTAGTAAGATATTGTGTGGCCAATACTATTGTAGTTGGAATGAAAAATTAGTAGAAGATCCAAGTCTTGACTTCAAAAAACCTTACCATATATTTGGGTAAAACAAGAAATCACATGCAAGAATCGAGTTGTTGTTGCTGTTGTTGTTGTTGTTAAGTGCCATCGAGTCGATTCTGACCCATAGTGATACCCATACCCATAGGGTGTCCAAGGAGCAGCTGATGAGCTTGAACCTTGCAGTTCAAACAACTTTGTGATCTGACATTAGCCCACAGCACTAAAATAATGCACGATAGAAGGCTACAAAGGGTTTGCCTAAAATTAAAGGAATTCATCAAAATGGGTATTAAAACCAGGCTGGGGATGTGTTGGAGAGGAAGGTGAGAGGAAATTCCAGACAAGAATTCAATGAGCAAACATGGCGCCTATCTCAAAGGCATGGATATCAGATCTACTTGGCTGACTCACGCAGGCTTGCTGGGTAATGAGTGATTCGGTTGGCTGATTTCATGCTTTATGTTGCATCAAATGGAATGACCATTGAGAGAAGTAATAACTGCATCGATTACTTCCAATGAAATTGCTCTGGGTTCTCTCCAACAGAAATCTCTCTAACAATCTGATCATGGAATTACCACCCCACCTTTTCAGCAACTTGGAGCTTCTATAAAAATTGTAAGTCCTTCTTCCCACCATAATCAGACTGGCATGTCAATGCCTTCAGCTTCCAGAATAATAACAGCCTGGTGCCTTCTCTCCTTTCCTCCTGATGGTACAAAAGGAACCTGTCGACCAACCCTCTTGCACATCTCCACAAGAACCAGTTTGAAAGTCTTAAACAACTTCAGTCTCTGTAAGTGAACTTGTGCAGCATGTTGATTATGTCTTTTGGGAAATGTGCTTTACTGAGAGACACAGTCAATTTCAAATGAGTATCTCACACTTGGCAGCGCTTTTGATTTGAGCATGTAACCTCAGAAATCATGAACACATGTTACCATTGGGCAAAGTCTCAATGTTTCATTCTTCAACACATGGAAACACCATTTCTGTGTCTGAAGCTACAAACCAGGAACTTCAAAAGGTTCATGGGAAATTGGAATTCAAAGACAATGAAACTTTTCTATAAACTTTTTGAAGCCCCCTCATAGACTTGTTGTTGTTGTTGTTAAGTGCCATTGGTTCTGACTCATAGCGACCCTGTATAGGGTTTCTGAGGAGCAGCTGGTGAGCTTGAACAACCAACCTTGTGGTTCAAATGACTTTGCAGTCAAGTGCATTAACCCACAGCGCCACACCAGGATTCCTCATAGAGTACATCCCCAAAAACTGGGTTAATATAGAGCTCTGGTAGCGTAGTGGTTACGAATCGGGCTGCGAACCTTAAGGTCAGCAGTTCGAAACTACCAGCCGCTCCGCGGGAGAAAGATGAGGCTTTCTACTCCCGTAAAGATTTACACCCTCGGAAACCCTGTACAGGGTCGCTATGGGTCGGACCCGACTCGATGGCACTTAACAACAACAACAACAATATTTTTCACCAAAGCATTAGCTTTTCAAGAGATGTTACTATAAATTTAGTAAAAAACCAAAAAAAACCCTGCTTGTCTTTTCACTTCCCCCTCCCCTACAATAATCTACTTGCCAATAGTCTATAGTGCATAATTACTACTTTTTAATCAATGTTAGGAAAAAAATTATCACACAAACATGAACACTCAGAAAAATCATTTTGTTTACCATTTTCAACCTTATTATGTTTCAAATGATATCAAGGTCTCTGCTTGATGTTCTTAGAAGGTCATCATTAGTTTTCCACGAATGGCCATTGTTGGTTGACTTCTGTTTACTTTTGCACAGAGAATATACTTACCTCATCTGAGCTCGACCTAAAGCATTTCTTCATTTCATTCCAAAGACCAATTCTTACTATAACATTTCATGCTAGCAAAATACTGCTCCAGTGGAGATGAATGCAAGACTAGGGAGCACCCCCTGAGGAATGCACTCCAGGAGCTCTGCCTGCTGTTGTTAGGGGACCGCTAGCTGGTTCCCACTCATAGAGACCCTATGTACAACCCTATGTACAAACTGCCCAGTCCTGTGCCATCCTCACGTCCCTCGCCTTGTGAGTTCCCTTTTGTAGCCACTGTGTCAATTCATTGCGTCAGGGGTCTTTCTCCTTTTGGGCTGATGCTCCACTTTACCAAGCATGATGTCATTCTCCAGGGACTGGCTCCTCCTGATAGTGCATCCAAAGTACCTGAAACGAAGTCTCCATCCTGGCTTCTAAGGAGCATTCTGATGGTACTTCTCCCAAGGCAGATCTGTTTATTCTTCTGGCAATCTACCAGCAGTTTAATATTTTTTGCCAGCACCATAATTCAAAAGCATCAATTCTTCTTTACTCTTCCTTATTCACTGTCCACCTTTCATTTACATAAGAGGTAGTTAAATGTAGCATGCCTTAGTTAGGATGCACATTAGTCCTCAAACTGATATCTCTGCTCTTTAACGCTTCTAAGAAACAACCTAAAGCCAAAATAAATAAATAAATAAATTTTAAACTCCATTGGTTTGAAATCTAAGGACAGACCTCAGGATGTAGGCAGAAGAGCAATCCCCTCTACCACTATGTTTCTGAGAGTCTGAAGATCCAGCCACCACACAATGCTTTTCTCAAAGTCGAAGGAGCAACTGTTTGCACCCTACCTGCCCTTCTTCACTTCTTACCCCTTCTTATTGTCTCATTTCTCTTTCTTCCAATCCATCCCACAAATATTTATGACCAGCTCATGACTGGCATTGGATATCCACTAATCAAATAACCACGCAACACATAGAGAGCTAAAACAAGAGCTAAAAAAAGAAAGAAGTTGCCCAAAGTCAAAGCCATGGCCGTCAGGTTGATTCTGACCCAACATGACCCTATAGGATGGAGTAGGATTGCCCTAGAGGGTTTCTAACGCTGTAAATCTTTATGGAATCAGACAGCCTCATCTTTCTCCCACAGAGTGGCTGGTGGGTTCAATCCGCTGACCTTTCAGTTAGCAGTTGAATGCTTAACTCCTGTACCACCAGGGGTCCTATGAACAGCCCTACAGAAGGGAAGAGACCTTTGATAAGTTCCCAAAGTTCCCTGCAGGTTAGACCATGTTGCTCTAGCAGGGTTCATTTCTGATTGCCAAAAAACCAAAATGGTTCCTCTAGGAAAAACTCACTGAGCCATGTCTAGAGACCCTCATTCAGACTCATCTAGCATAAACCAAATAGAGTGAGAATCCTTCAGTATTCATACTAAAAGCAAATGGTTTCTGTCTTATGGCATTTTCCCCTCTTTATGCTTCCTAAGAACATGCCTAACACTCCTTATCCACACTATCCTAAAAAGGCCTTCAAAGAACCAGTATTTGAAGACATTTCTGGTTAAGTGAGGAGCAGGTTGTTGGAGGCTTGCTGTCAAGTCGACTCTGGCTTATCGTGATCCTGTGTGAGAGTCACACTAACCCATACAGCTTCCTTATGGGTGGCATTTCTATGGGGAAGAGGCCTAGTGGAACAGTGGTTAAGCGCTTAGCTGCTAACTGAAAGGTTGATCATTAACTGTTATCCAAGTGTTGGGCTGTTAGCCAAAATGTCAGCAGTGGTTCAAAGTCCATCAGCCACTCCATGGGAGAAAGATGTGGTCATCTGCTCCTGTAAAGATTCCAGCCTTGTAAACCCTATGAGGTAGCTCTACTCTGTCCTATAGTGTTGTTGTAAGTTGGAATCAACTCAAATGGGTTTGGGTTTTTTGTTTTATCTTAATTTTTATGGGAGTAGATTCTTAGATCTTTCTCCCATGGGACCACTGAGTATGTTTGAACCTCCAACCTTTAGGCTTGCAGCCAAGTACTTAATCATTGTGCCACCAAAGCTCCTGTTGTTGTTGTTAGGTGCCATTGAGTCGGTACCGACTCATAGCAACCTTATCCTCAGCAGAACGAAAACACTGCCCGATCCTGGGCCAACTTCACAATTGTTGCCATGCTTGAGCTCATTGATGCTGCCACTTTGCCAATCCATCTAGCTGGGGGTCTTCCTCTTTTTCTCTGACCCTCCACCTTACCCAGCATGATATCCTTTTCCAGCGATTGTTTCCTCCTGACTATATGTCCAAAGTATGAGAGACGAAGTTTGGCCATCCTGGCCTCCAAGGAGCACTCTGGCTGCACTTCTTCCAAAACAGATCTATTGGTTCTTTTGGCAGTCCATGGCACTTTCAATATTCTCCTCCAACACATTAACTCAAAAGCATCAATTCTTCTATGGTCTTCCTTATTCACTGTCCAGCTTTTGCATGCATATGAGGTGATTGAAAACACCATGGCTTGGGTCAGGTGCACCTTAGTCCTCCTATATGAGGAGTATTGGGGTTGTCGTTGATGCCTTCTGGGGACCTCTTATGGGGCCTTGAGGAATTATAAAGGCTGCGCCCTTCTCACTGTTAATCTTTCTCCTCAACTGGAACCTCTCCTGCTGCATCCTAAGGAGCCCTGGTGGCACAAAGGGTTAAGCCCTGGACTGCCAACTGAAAAGTCAGTTGTTGGAGCCCACCAGCTACACACAAGAGAAAGCGGAGGCTGTCTGTTTCCATAAATATCACAGCCTTGGAACACTTTGGGTTTAGCTCTACATTGTTCTAAAGGGTCACTGTGAGTTGGAATCCACTCCACAGCAGCCAGTTTCGTTGTTTTTTGTTTTGATCCCTTTAAGCTCCCATCTGTACTTTAGATGAACTGTTATCAGTTTACATTCATATAGATCATTCTCTGTAAGAGCGTTATTCATTATTAATTGAGCTAAATTATTGTTCCGTTTAAAGACGGCTTCGCGGAATCATCTTAGTTCAAGTTTTAAAGCTTATTTGCAGGCATTAGATTTGAGGGTTCTCCCAGTCTCATTGGATCCAAAAGTCTAGTTACCCCCTGAGTTTGAATTATGTTCCACATTTTACCCCCTTTGTTGTTGTTGTTGTTGTCAGGTGCCATCGAGTCGGAACCGACTCATAGCGACCCCATGCACAGCAGAACGAAACAATGCTCGATCCTGGGCCAACCTCACCACCGCTGCCACCCCCGAGTCCATCAATGATGCCACCTGGCCGATCCATCTCGTTGGAGGTCTTCCTCTTTTTCTCTGACCCTCCACCCTACCCAGCATGACATCCTTCTCCAACGATTGTTTCCTCCGGACTACATGTCCAAAGTAGGAGAGACGAAGCTTAGCCATCCTGGCCTCCAAGGAGCACTCTGGCTGCACTTCTTCCAAAACAGATCTATTGGTTCTTTTGGCAGTCCATGGCACCCTCAGTATTCTCCTCCAACACCACAACTCAAAGGCATCAATTCTTCTATGGTCTTCCTTATTCACTGTCCAGCTTTTGCATGCATATGAGGTGATTGAAAACACCATGGCTTGGGTCAGGTGCACCTTAGTCCTCCTATATGAGGAGCATTGGGGTTGTCGTTGACGCCTTCTGGGGACCTCTTATGGGGCCTTGAGGAATTATAAAGGCTGTGTCCTCACTGTTAATCTTTCTCCTCAACTGGAACCTCTCCTGCTGCATCCTAAGGAGCCCTGGTGGCAAAAAGGGTTAAGCCCTGGACTGCCAACTGGAAAGTCAGTTGTTGGAGCCCACCAGCTACACACAAGAGAAAGAGGAGGCTGTCTGTTTCCATAAATATCACAGCCTTGGAACACTATGGGTTTAGCTCTACATTGTTCTATTGGGCCACTGTGAGTTGGAATCCACTCCACAGCAGCCAGTTTCGTTGTTTTTTGTTTTGATCCCTTTAAGCTCCCATCTGTACTTTAGATTAACTGTTATCAGTTTACATTCATATAGATCATTCTCTGTAAGAGCGTTATTCATTATTAATTGAGCTAAATTATTGTTCCGTTTAAAGATGGCTTCGTGGAATCATCTTAGCTCAAGTTTTAAAGCTTATTTGCAGCCATTAGATTTGAGGGTTCTCCCAGTCTCATTGGATCCAAAAGTCTAGTTACCACCTGAGTTTTAGTTCTGTTCCACATTTTACCCCCTTTAGATCAGGATTTTATCCATTGGGTCTTAGATCCAAATTTTTAAGACACTAAATTGAGCCACTAAGACGTTGAACATGTTTGTGTATATCTTCCAGGGATCTGGAAAGGATAGAGATTCCAAATATAAGCCCACAAATGTTTCAACCCATGAAGAATCTTTCTTACATGTAAGTATGTATGAAGGAATGGGGAAGAAAGTATGGTGACATGCTTCAAATGTTTTCATGTGAATTGTCTGGTATATGGCATCAATGTGTTTTTATGCAAAAAAAAAAAAATGTTTTTATTGAGAGCTTTTAACTTTTGTCACCTCTGGCCCCTGTTAAAATAGAGTTCAAAATAATGATGTGTCAATATGAATGATAGTTCTCTATGGAAACACACTGTTTGTCCAACTGAGACCGCATAAGAACCAGGGTACCAGTATACCCTATATTTCATAAGACAAAGTCACTGGCAAATGGTCCCCAGACAACTTGGAAACACTCATTCGCTTCACAAGTGTGAGAGTATGCCACTCTAAGATTTGAACCCTTGGGAAGAAAGGTGCTATATAAATTCCAGAGGTTGCTACCATTACTAAATGCACTACAAAAAGGAGGTAATTATTCTTTATCATGGTTTTTAATAAGTCACGCTAATGTATTTGGCTAAAGTGCACTGTGTGTCATTGTTGTTAAATGTCGTCAAGTCAGTTCTGACGCGTAGCGACCCTGTACAGGGTTTCCTAGGAGCTCCTGGGGGTTTGAACCACCAACCTTGTCGTTAGTCCAGTGCTGGTCCTACAACACCACACCAGGACTCACCACATAGGTGGTGTTAATTTATGGGTTGGTGACATGATCAATTATTAGCAGCTCTGTAGTCTGTGTGCTTGTGATTTCAAAAACCAACCCTCAGTGGCTGTATTCTGACAACAGTGGACACAGTGGAATCCTAAAAGGACACCAGGGGCAGGGGAGACAACCACAGTATTATCCGCCAAGTTCCTTGAACAAGATAAATAGAATCAGGACACTAGATTGTAAGCTGCCAGGGGACAGGGTCTGCGCCTTATTTCTCCAGCTGACATGACACACCATGCACTAATCTCTCTATCAGTCACTGTGGGTGAGTACTTACCATGAGTCAGAACCAACTTGATGGCACTTAACAACAAAAACAACTTACCATGCCGCAGCCATTGTTGTAGATGCTGAGAACACAATGATGAAGCAATGGAGAGAAATGCCTGCCCTCATGGGGCTTCTGTTCGGCTTTGGAAATCAGAGAATAAATAAAGAGCTCATTGATAGATGCTTTGGGATAAGTGCTGGACAGCTAACCACAAGGTCAGGGGTTCAACCCAGCAGACACTCTGAGGGAGAAAGAAGCCACTGCCTGCTCCCATAAAGATTTACAGTCGCTACGAGTCAGAATCGACTCAACGGCATTGAGTTTGGCTTTTTGGCATTTTTGCTTTTGATTTGTGCACGTAGGAAATAAAGGGGACTTTGCTCAGCTGCTAATCAAAAGACCGGTGGTTCACACCCACCCAGAAGTTCTATGAGAAAAAGATGTGGTGGTCAGCCTTCATAAAAATATATAGCTTTGTAGACCATGTGGGGCGATTCTACCCTGTCGTGTGGGGTTGCTATGAGTAGTAATTGACTCCGCAGCACTAGGTTTGGTAATTGGGTTACTAGAAAGGAACATAAGATAAAGGAGTGGTGAGAATACTTAGATGGTTTAGATAAAAGCCAGGACAGGACGCAGCCCTGTCAGTACCAGGGACCATGCACCATTGCCCTCCAGTAGACTCCAGCTCACAGAGTTCCCCCATGTGTCAGAACAGAACTTGGCTCCTTAGGGTCTCCAGTGGCTGGTTGTTCTGAAGTTGATCACCTGAGGTTTCTTCCAAGACATCTCTGAGGGGACTTGAACCACCAAAATAAGACTCCGAATAGGCAACGAACAGGTTTGTTTGAGGATCGGCAAGAAGGCCAATGTGGCTGCAGGGATAAGGCAGTCAGAAGCTGAATTGAGAGATGACCAAAAAAATGATAATTTTTCCGAGAGAAAGAAGCAAAAAAATGAAGTGAAAAGAGATAGTGAAAGATACGGCAGCCAGGAGTTCATCACACAAAGCCTCGAAAGCTAGGGGAAAGAAAAGCTGTTGAATATTCCGTCCTAGGAGCTCAATTGGGAGATGACGAAAAAAGAAAGAATGTATTTGAGAGAAAGAAATGAAGTAAAAGGAAGTAGTGAAAGAATAAAAATCAAGTGAGTATTTCTATGTGAGACCACGCCAAGCACACAAAGATGGGGAATTACATAGAGCAAAGGTTCTCACTAATTTAAACCTTCAAGATGCCACACTCCCAGATAGATAAATACATTGACCCAAAAACAGACTTCCATTTTCCTCTAGAAATTAAATCCTTAGAGGTCCTGGTTTATATATATAAAAAAAATTAAAATCTGCATTTAATGTGGGCTGCTGCTCCTTTTAGGTCAGTGAGATGGAAATTTCTAGTCTCTGGGTAATGAAGTTGCATACCCAATGTGAAGTCGAATACTCACGTCGACCAGCATAGAGTTGTGACATTGTATCTCCAGAGCAGAGTTGTGATGCTGTATACCCAACATAGAGTTGTGAAGTCATAGACTCACGGAGACCAGTGTAGTGTTGTGACATTGTATACACA